AGCCATCTGACTGAAAATGCAGAGCTCTTGCCACTGCCAAAAGGTGTTTACAGATTTATTGGAAAGAAAGCACATAGCATCTTTAGGGAAGTGAATCAAAACTGGCCTGGAACGAAATTCCCAGTGTGAAGGAAGTGTTGGGGAGTTCGGGGTCGGGGGGGGGAGAAGCTTGGACTTGGTGGGGGGAAACCTCCTTCTGAGCAGTAGGGACATGAGGGAGACTTGTTTTCAGGTGGATAAAGAGAATACTCATAGATTATTCCTTATCTCCCCTAAGAGGTCTCAAAAAAATACATGCTGGGGTCAGGAGGTGGCATAGTGGTTAAGTCACTGGATCCCATGTAGCTGACTCCATGGATCAAGTCCCAGACCTGTGGTTTAAAAAATGTGCCAGGCATGTGTGTATGTGTGTCCAAAATCCCAAGAGGAGAATGGAGGAGAAGAGACTGCAACATGGCCATTCTCCCTGAGAGGGGTGATTTCTCACCTTCCCCCCGTCTCTCTGTTTCACCACATCCTGGGATGTTAGTTCCTAGTATACATAATGGAGATGGATCATCTGTGGTCCCAATTTCCAATCAAAAGAGCATACTGTTTGTAAGAGTGAATTCTGGTAGCTTCATTGGTCCCTTCAGACCCTGGTTCTCCCCTCACTAGTTGGTGGTCTTGGTTGAATCCTTCATGAACTTCTCTGAATCAGTTTTTTCATCTTGGAAGGGAGGATAATAGAATTAATCTGCATTGGTTCAGATACAGTTTGGCTCCTGTTAAAATGACCCCAAATCACGGTACCCTCAAGAAGACAGATGTTTATTTTCTCTCAGTAATTGTATAAGGGCTGATATCATGGCTTCATGATACATGGGCATTCAGTCTCCTTCTAGTGTGTTGCTGTGGTATTTCCACTTAAAGATGACTTATTCTGGGTCCACATCTTCTGGGCCCACTCAGTGGCCAGTAGGAAAGGAAAAAGGGAATGTAGGCTCCTTCCTTTCAAGTGCCTAACTCAGAAGTTGCACACTAGGCCACAATGGGAAGGGAGGCTAGGAATAATTATCCTTAGGAGCCATGAGTCCATCTAAATGAAGAGAAAAGCTATATGGGGATGATTAGCTAATGTTCTTCTCTCTATATCTATCTATCTGTCTAATGAACTACTTATACAGATGAACAAAATATTCTATGAAGTACAATGTCTAGAATATAGCTGATGTCTAGCCCTGATTAGTTCTCTCCCCCTTGTAGATGGAAAAGTGTCTCCTACACATATTTTTGGAGCACCTATTATATGCTACTATAATGAGAAACACCAAGAAAAACACAAAGAAGAAATTGACCCAATCAAATGAGGAACACTGGTGATGCAGAGTGAATTATGACACGGCTAAGAAGAGTGAAGAACTATAATCAAATTAGGTACAAAATCCTTGGAATCAAAGAGAAAGGAGTTCCTCAAACCATCTAAGAATCCAAGAAAACCTTACATTTGGAGGAACATTTGAAATTGGATCCTTGTCTTAGGTCATTTTCTGCTGCTATAATTAAATACCAAAGACTGGATAATTTATAAACAATATACGTTTCTTCGACTCATGGATCTGGAGTCTAGGAAGTCCAAAGGGATGATGCTAGCATCTGGTAAAGGCGTCAACCCATAAAAGAAGAAAGGGCAAGAAAGTTCTTAAGACAGAGAGAGGAAATTTGACCCAGCTCATTCTTTTTTCAAGAACCCTTTCCTGGGATAACTAACTCACTCCAAAGATAACGGTATTACTCCATTCACAAAGGCAGAGATCTCATGTCATAATCTCTTCTTAGAAGTTCCATTTCTTAATACCATTAAAATAGGGATTAAGTTTCAAATACATAAAGTTTGGGGGGCATATTTAAACTGTATCAGTCCTCTAAGATAAGTATGATTTTACCAGATAGGAAATGAAGGGGAAAGATTTCAGATGGTAGGATAAGAAGTCTTGTCAACACAAATCAAAACAACATTAAGTATATGTTTTACATATAAGACTGGCAAAAATCAGACAAAGATACAGGTACAAATATAGAATTAATATATTATCTATGAATATACATAATACCCACATCAGTGAAAGAGTGGAGAAAGGATTGCCTACCATATGCTATTAGTGCTAGTGTATGTTGGTGTGGCCTTTTTGAAAAATATAAAAATTTGGCATAAAATATTCAGATCCAAAATTACACACATCTTTTGATCCAGCAACTTCATTTCTGGTTATCTATTCTACACAAATATTTTCACAAGAGCTCAAGGTATACAATCAAGGATTATATTTCAGCATTGTTAATAATAATGACACAATTACCACAACAACCTACAACTAAGCCAGCCTATGACTGGGAAAAGATTAAATGGCCACTAATCTGCAGATACCAGAAGACTGAGACACGGGTATGAGCAGATTTGAAAGGATGGTGCTGTTATATTGGTAAGGACTTTCTTTGTCTATGGTAGAACAGTATTTATAGTCTGTGCTTTTTGTACAAAACCAGACACATAAATAAATGAAACTAAGATAAAACAAACAAATGAACAAGTTTTAATCTGCGTGGGGTAACATATGTGCATTTGACCACTGAAAATTTTGGACAGTTTTTTTGTTTTTTGAGAGGTTTTTTGCTATAGGGCACGTGCGCTCGCCAGACAGACACAGAGAGAAAGAGAGACAGAAAGCAAGAAATCACCCCCCAGGGGGGATGGCCACACCACAATCCCTTCTCCTCCATTCTCCTCTCAGGATCTTGGGCATGCACGCACACGCGATCGGTGTGAGTTTAAGCCACCAAGTCCAGGACACGAACCGTGGTCAACTACGTGGGAGTCCAGCAACATAGCCATTATGCTAACTGGTGGCCCCTCCACTGAAAATTTATAGGAGGAGCTAGACTAAGATATTAAAAGCAATTACTTTAAGGAAATGAGAGTTGAAGAAAAATAAATAATCCTCTGATTTATTGTTGATATGGCTAAATTTTTTTTTTTTTGGAGAGGTTGTTTTTTGCTATAGGGCGCATGCGCTCACCAGACAGACAGAGAGAGACAGAGAGACAGAAAGCAAGAAATCACCTCCCAGAGGGGATGGGCACGCCGCAATCCCTTCTCCTCCATTCTCCTCTCACGCTCCTTGGGCATGCACGCACACGTGCCCGGCGTGAGTTTCAAGCCACCGGGTCCGGGACGCGAACCGCGGTCGACTAGGTGGGAGTCCAGCGACATAGCCATTACGCTAACTGCTGGTTCCCAATATGGCTAAATATTGAGAATAATCTAAATGGCTTCCTATGGAAATGAGGTTAAATGAATCATAATACTTGAACACAATATGCTATTTCATAGCTATGTTTAAAATTATTTTTTAACTTTTTTTATTTACAAATAACCACTGTACATCTTTATAATGTGAAACATGGCTTTTTCCCAGCATGTATATGGTGCCTATTAGTCAAATCAAAGACATTACCATATAGCTATCAAAAAAAAGGAAGTGGGCCAGCAGATGGTGTGGTGGTTAAGGGGCTTGAATTGCCACATGGCCAACCATGGTTCGAGTCCTGGACATGGCTTTCTCTCTCTCTCTCTCTCTATCAAAACTCATGTGAAAAACAAAGAAAGAAAGAAAGAATTCTTAAAAAAAAAAAAAAAAAGAAGAAGAAGAAGGAAGTTAGGCCAGCTCTGGCACACAGGTAGAACAACATTTTGTGATGCTGGACCAACACAGCAAGATGGTGGGTTTGCATCTGAGATCCCCTAGTACATGCTGGGTATGCTGGAAAGTGATCCCGATGGGTTGACCCCAGGGGAGATCCCAGTGTGAAAGCTGTTGGAGGTGCCCAACACTCTACCTCTCATGAAAGAAACAACATAAAATAAGCTCTAGGGAAAAAAGTAGAAAAAAAGAAGGAGGAAGCTTTGTCTACAAACATAGAAGCAACTTTGGTGCCAGCAGGTGGTGTGACAGTTAAGGGACTGGAGGACTCCCACATGGCTGATAGCACTTCAAGTCCTGGACATGGAAGCTTGCTTTCTCACTTTCTCTCTCTCTCTCTCTCAGTCTCTCTCTGGTCAAATTAATAAATAATAATAAATAAAGTTAAATAAAACAATTCTTTATATGGGACCACCAGGTGGATGGTAGTTGGGGTGCTGGATACTCCCACATGGCCGACTACAGTTCAAGTCCCAGACCTGGCGGCTTGCTTTCTCATTTTCCCTCTCTCTCTCTGTCTCTCTCTGGTCAAATTAAAATAAATGAATGAATAAATTAAAAATTGAATAAATAATTATTAAAAAATTTTTAATTCTTTATAAAAAAGAAACAGGTTTAAGACTGTTAAGTGAAGAGCACAAGGTTCAGAATCCTATGTATACTCTCATTAATACAAATAGTGTAACAGAAATATGCCTGCATGTCTGTGTACATGTGCGTTTGTGTGTATGTGTTGTGAACAGCACACAATACCCTGCAAGGATACACAGGAAATTAGAAACTAGTGGTCACCTCTAGATATGGAAACTGAGTGGTTTGGGAATAGAGGACGAAAGGTTGCTCACTTTCTCTGCCCTTTTATACTTTTGAATCTTATCCTGCACATATTTATTACCTTCTCAAAACATTTTAATTAAAATTTACATTAGGAATAAGAAACAAAAGCTAAAAGGTCCTTATGCTGCCTCACTTCTCGAATTTCTGCTAAAATAAGTGCTACTGCAGCAGAGGATGGCATTGGGCCACTTCTGCTCCACAGTACGTGGCAAGAGTTTGGTTCAGCTCAGCACAGGTCCTGTGAAACCTGTTCCAACCTCGCAGCTCAAACACACTGAGAGAAGTGCAGTGCAGAGTAAAACCCTTACTCTGCAGCCAGGCATGTTAAGGGGCAGGTGTAAAATCATATTGTAATTTACCTGTGCTCTGTGATAAGAACAGTTACCCCAGGAAAGAGAGATTAGGGTTATGACAGTAACTTACTATTTCAAGGCACAGTCAGGATGAGTGCTGTGGTCCACACACTTTAAGAGCTTCACTGGTCTACAGAAAGAAAATATTTAAGCAATTATTTAAATAGCTTTCATTCATCAAACTCTTATGATGTATCTGCAAAGCCGACAGACACAAAGCCTCTGTCCTGAAAGAATGCACACGCTATTTATTTTTGAAATATTAGCCAGCACTTGTGAAGAATGGAAAGAAGCTTGATTATGTATTTTTCATTGATCGTGTAATTTAATCCTCACAACAAAATGGATTGGTTCTATTTTCATCTCCAATTTATAGTTGAGAAAACTGACGGAAGCGCCTTCCCCAAGCCCTCACGACAGTGAGATGTAGAGCTGAAGTTGGAGCTTGCAGGCCGGCTGCAGAGCCTGAGCTTGTCAGCACTTCTTTAAACCTTTCAATAAATACTCTGGGCAAGGTGGTGCTTGAAGCACAGGGGAAGGCCAGTTCTCAGGCATCAATGAACAGAGCTACGTTGCTCTGGCCAGTAGAGGGCAGCCAGAAGGCAAAGTGAAGCAGAATGCAGAGAGGAGCTGGGTAACGTGGCTCATGGGGCATTAGAGAGGAAGCAGGCCAGCAAAGTCATCTCTGTGGCAGGATGACCAGAGGGAAAGGATTCAGAACAGGAGAGCTATACTGTTTACTCTGTGGCATGCTGTGTGATCACTCCTTGAACTTGTCTACTTTCACTGAAGTCTACTTCACACATCTGGTTTTTTATGAAAGGAGTTCATTGTTGTTTGATGGTCAAAAAGGGACTGAGAGTCTGATTTAATACAGTGCTAGCAGAATCCAACTGAGACATAATAGAGAATATGAAAAGACAAAGCTCCACCAAAATTAACTAGAATATGGGAAAATCGACTGACCAGACAGAAGGCAATACCGCCTGAATTTTGGGAGGCAGAAAGTTCTGCTTCCTGAGTAGAACTGAGTCAGGCTTGGGAGGGAAGAGTCCTGATGCAGCTGAGGTGAGACAACGCTAGAGAGGAGGGACAGCAGCAGGCGGCTCAGGATAGCCAGGAGGGGAAGGAGACTGAGCGAGACTGAGCTCTGGCTTGGCTTCAGCTGTGCTGGATGACTGAATGAAGAATGACTCCTCAGGGAGAATTCCTCAGCAAAGTATCGTAACTATGTAATTTTTTTGTCATAATTTTCTCTACTATTGAACTCTCTTTTACAGTAAGAATGGCCCGTTTTTTCATTTTAAGGGAGGAGGAACACATTAATAACAGGAGCATGGTTCAAGGCCATGGAAAATGAGTTCCAGAACACAGCTGTCACGGAGTGCTGACTTCGCGTGATACATGTAAGTGCTGATTCATCTACAAAAAGGCAATGTTTATATAAAGCTTAGAGACAGACAAAACTAACCGATGACATTACAGATGTGGAGAGTAGTCACCATAGAGGTTCAGCCTGGAAAACAAAGGGAAGGCCGAGGATGGGCTGTGGTGTTGGTGCTGCTTCCTGACCTGTGTGCTAGTTGCGTGTGTACACTGAACTTGCAAATACCCATTCATCCACCTGCTGTGGTTGTCATTCTTCTGCACATAGTTGCCTTGTTTTTTAAAAGGGGTGGTAAATAACACTTAATTTTTAAGTTTACTGACAGTATTAGCAATGATATGTGAGTAAAATGATGCAGATAACAAAACATTTTTGAGGGCCTCTTTCTCTTAGGATGACATAGAGATGGGGGAGCAGTCCACTTCCAGGAGCCTTTGCTAAGCTGGGAGAATTGTCTGGTCTCTGCAAATCTGGAGAAGTCAAAGGTTAGCAGAGCCAGCAGGATTACCATGACTGTGGATGAAAAGAACAATGATACAGTTTCTCTGCCATGCCATAAATATCCAAGAAAGCCATTGAGTCCTTGCAAGTCTGAATCCAGCCCCCTGAGGAACCAGCACACCTGCAGACTTAGGAATCGAGGCAGAGAGAAGGTGAAACATGAGTTCTGATTCCAGGGGAGGGCTTACAACTGCTCTAAGGTTTGAGCTAGCCTTTTCTAAACTTCTGAGAAGCAGGAAGACTCTCAAATATTTGAGTATAAGCACCTGGCCCATATTTACTCAAAAAATGGTAATTCATTATTTTCTTAATGGTCTACAGTCAAGATATATCCACCTATAAGTATCTCAAAATTTTGCATTCAGGGCCAGCAAGTGGCATGGTGGTTAAGGGTACTAGATTTCCACATGATCGACCACAGTTCAGGTCCTAGACCTGGTGGTTTGCTTTCTCACTTTCCCTATCTTATTCCGTCTCTCTCTGGCTAAATCTAAATAAATAAATAAAGTTAAATAAAATAATTCTTAAAAAAAAAAAGGAAATAATTCTTCAGGTAATTATTTTCAAGTTGTATGGCATAACCAAAAAAAGAAAAAAAGAAATCCACCTTAGTGTCTATCGTGGACAAGGATCCCTAGGCATCCAAAGGTGCAGGAACCCAGGTGCAGGTTCCCAGTTACCCACCATACCATGAGCAAGGAGGAGGAAACTGGGTATAAATGATACAATCTTGGTTTCTGTGTATGTCCTTCAACTGTCATTAAAGTAGCCTCTGGACAAGTGGTGGGGCCCAGACAGGACCCTGTTCAGAAAGCACACCCTGCTCCCACTGCCAGAGGCAATGCAGAAGGCACAGAGCTGTGGCCTTCAGAGCTGATGCCTAGCAAACTCTTTCAACAGCCCACCCCTACAAAATCAGCACTACACCGTTGAGTGTGCACACTGGTTATCCACACCACTTACAGGTAATCATTAATGCAGCTGTACTGGAACCCCATCTTCTCCAGTCTCTCCTCCAGGATTTTCACGCTGCCTTCTCCACATGATTCTCTATAAAATGAAAACATAGACTTTTAAAATAAACATATAAAAAGAGGTTGGGAAGAGGAAGTTGTTCCTAGGTTAACTATAATAAAAGTCTTTAATCATGTCCTCCCAGGTATTCTCTTATAGTGAAAATCATAATCTCTGGTATAAATGGCGCCGTTTCCAAAAAACTCACAGCGCCCTGAAGAACGTGTTCTGAGGACTGAACACCAGATCTGAAGAAGCCAAGCCATGCTGGGACGGCCAGGGTGTCTGCCAATATGCACAGTCACACCACTGAGTAACAGGGGTCATGACCTATCCCAGCACAGCATTGACTACTAGCCTGTTCAACCTGTGGTGTATTAACTTTAAAATTTAAATAACAACAAAAAGAGAAGACACCTTTATGGCTCCTGAGAACTAGTGACTTCAGGGGAATAAGTGAAATGAAGATTTTCCACTGATAATTAAGCCTCCAGCCCACAAACTCGAGTGATTGAACTTCAAGTGTGGGAAGAAACACACCATCCATCACATGACTAGAAATCACCACAGGGCCACAAGAAATAGGGGAAAGCAGGAAAATACCTCTCCTCCACGGGAAAAGAATAACTCCTCTTCATCCACACACAGTTCAATGGAAATCATGGAAATGTCTGACAAAGAATTTAGAACATTCATAATGGCGAAGTAACAGAGATGGAAGAAAAGAGAGACAATGAACTGCAGAAGAAGCAGGAAAGAGGAGCTGATGAGTTCCAGGAGGTGAGGAAATTCTTGCAAGATCTGAAAGAGGAATTTCACACTTTACAGAAGAATCAAGTGGAACTGTTAGAGATGAAGGCTGTAATACAGGAAGTCGAAATCTCCCTTGAAAGTATTAAAAGCAGACTAGATCATACAGAAAATAGAATCTCAGATGTAGAAGAGAACATTGCTGGCCTAGAAAAATCCACCATGAAGACGGAGAAAACTGCCCAAAACTTTGTGAATAATATAAGAGAAGTACTAGATACCATCAAACGTCCAAACATCCAGATAACTGGCATCCCAAAAGGCAAAGAGACTCATAAGGGCATTGATAATCTATTCCATGAAATCCT